GGCTAAATTCCGCCGCTGCCCCTGGGGTGGCGGTGAAGGCTTAGATCCTCTCCTCGCAAAAGGGTAGTAGGTTCGAATCCAATACGGTGCAAAAAAGCATCTCAATTTACGACTCCGGTCAAGAAACGCTTCCAATTGAATCCCACAAACTCAATAAGTAAAATGATCCTGACTCTATAAGAAGTATTGATGGACGCAGTTTAACTTTGTATCGTCTTAATATATTTAGATTTCATCATCATCATCATAAAGAGTCAGTCTCAATCCTACTTCTTATTTAATATTATTATCTTACTTAGCGTTCGCGCTTCCCAATATCCTACTTTACCTACTTGATCTCCTTACCATACGCGCCTCTCAAAATTCAAAATCACCTCAGTCACCAATGCGCGTCATAATATATACACATCTTGTAAGACAACGACCATCATATACATTTTATATTCCTTTCTCTGGACGCCTAATTCTTCCGCCCAGTCAAGGATATTAGGCCTCTCAGGTTAACATGAGTGCAAAGTTTATAAATATTAAATACCAACTTAGTCCGTGATTCAAAAAAAAAAATCCACACATTGGCGCCCTCTGTTTCTGGAATCCTTTTGTCAGAATACCGATACAGAGCTGAACATACAGCATCATTTATTAACTAAGGACAAAAAGTGACAAGCAACTACGCACAGATACCTTCTCAGAGCGACAATCTGTCTCACTACTCTGTTATTATTTGGAAATTTTCATACTATAACGAAGTCACATTGCTGGCGATTCAGATTAGATTCAACGCTTAGCAACTTTCAAGCATTATAATCAATTTACGAGTTTTTCAAACTGCAATTAACCATATACCCAAGGTATCCTGATGATCCGGCTTAATCGAGTACATACGAGAAACGCAATTCATCAAAACTTTTTACGATATTAGACAAGAGACGCTTCCAGCATATTTAACGCATCGTTTAAAACATCATACTATTGGAAGTATTGATGGACGCAGTTTAGTTTTGCAGCGTTATAATCCTGCTCCGTAACTTTGGTATCGGCATTTGCGTTATACTGAATGGCATTGGTTGATAAGGTAGTATCTCCAGGTGGAGTTAAAGAAGCTATAAGTGCTGAAATTAGTGCAGATCCTATAGCTGCAATACAAGCTGCTCCACCTGAGCCTGCGCAAGTTGTTCCAGTAACCACAACTCCTGCTCCAATCAATGCCAGACGAAGTGACAATCCCCATATAACCGTGGGCTAAAGTTAGCCACGGCATAAGCCGGCCTAGGGGTTAGACTAGTAGGTGCTCCTTCTACCAATAAAGTGTTTTTAAAATGAAAACTTCTGAACTGAAAAAAGTAGTAAAGAAAGAGAGAGAAGTAAAGAAGACTACAAAGTAAAAGTAGTAGCGTTGGGTTCCATTCATTCTGATTATTTTGGGGCATAGGGAGTATATCAATACTTATGGTTACCAGCCTTATACTATGATGAATAAAAATCGAGGTCTTATATATACTAAAGAGTATATATATTAAAAATCAGTTTTTTGGTTGATTTAATTATATCGGGTATGTTCATTTTTATATTCTGTTAGGGTAGCTCATTTTTCGAGTTATTGGAGCTTGAAAGATTAATACCCGTCGCATAGGAGAGAACATTTGCATTGCGGACTTTTCGGAGGTAAAGAAGAATTTACCTGCTTAAATAATGTTGGTCTGTAAATATCAAACGCGTTCTATTATTGGTTAAAAAGGTATTAAGTATAATGTGATCTAAAGTAGATGGCGTTTTTGGCATAAGATATGGTTTCTTACATCGTTATCTTTGTTGTTGGCCGTACATCCGTTTTCCTTGCCCCTATATCCATTGTTGTTGCCTCAGAATCTGTACGTAATTACCTGTCCCTTTTGTCCCTAGTTACTAAATGATGCTGTATGTCCAGCTCTGTATCGGTTATTCTGACATTGTATCCTACTTTTATTTAAAATATTTATGTTTTATACTTATCAATCGATAAATTATTTGATTATGCTCTAACCAGGTAGGTTTATATGTCGTTTTGAACATACATCCAACAGCTATCCCATTTTTGATTTATGAGTAAGCCAAAATACCCCTGCCAATTTCGTCCTTTAAGCATATCCACAAAATCTACTGGCACTGAGCTCTCTATTTATAGCTTTGTTAATGCTTTGACTAAATAAGTCCAAACATAATATAAGGCTAAGTTAGTCTTATCATGTCCTGGTGCAACACCGTACCTATATGTGAAATCATCTGCCTCTCTTTTATCTCTCCCACTTCCCGACTCAATAAAGTTGAAGTGGCTTTCCATGTTCTTCAATAATCCATCTACAGTATATATCTCTCGGTGTTTCTTCATGTCCTCTGGTAAACCAGCCTCTTGCAAACTCTCCGTCGATAACAACTCTATATTGCAATGTTTCTGAACATCTGTGTCGCACTCGTAAGTTTTGATCCATTTTCATTAATAACTGGAACCACTCCCAAATTGTCCCAATTTGGTGAGTGAGCACTTATAGAGAAGCTTCTTGAATTAACGTGTGCTATGTCATGAGCCAAATCGTCTTGGTTTTAACGGTGTAGCCCAATCTTGAGAGGCATAGGCTAAGATCGCTGTCATAGTAGTATAAACGCCTTTGGCAGCAAGGAAGACAAAAGCATTCATACAAAGGGTTTTGATCCAGCTGAGAACAGTAATATTTCACCACTAGCACAACTTCCCTATCTCGGTGCAATCGAACCATTTAGTGTGTCTAAATTATCTAACTTCATAGATTATACACTTGGTACTCTTGTCACCACAAATGCTATGGCCACTAAAATAAACACACAGTCCCCCCTCACGACCATGGCTGGTTCTGTGAAGTTTTTTTTTTAATATATAAAGTACAAAATATGGAATATCATAAATAAAAGTAAGATACAAAAACTTATTGCTTTCGATAAATTTATAAATTAACAAATACAGATATACAAATACATATATGAAAACATCTATAAATGTGAAGTAGGCTCAATTCTTTATTAATGTAAGATAGTCTTAATTATTTCGTTAATCTCAACGTTTCTCAAACTTTAAGGCTAGTGTTTGAAATGGTCTGAAAGATACATTGACTCGGAGTATTGATCTTTTAAAGCACCCGTTAAACCTACATACGGTCCTGTATTGATTTCTTTCACCTACACCGACTTCTCTAGAGTAATACTAATAAACCCAATAACATTAATATTAAAGACAAAGAAAAAACATGCTATCTTAGTATAGTTGTTGCCAACATACTTAGAATTCATAAGGAAGCGAAGAGTCCGACGGTAATAAACAAAAATGCACACAACACTAATTTCCTAATTTTGTAAGGGTACGTGTTTCAGAAAATATTACTTGAGTCCAATATTCGTTGTACTAAAAATAAGTATAGAACTTTTTCAATGGAAAAAATAACATTAAAATCCAAATAAAAATTAGCCCCACGCGGGGCTCGAACCCGCAGCCTTGAGATTAAGAGTCTCACGCTCTACCGATTGAGCTAGCGAGGCTTGTGAATGAAAGAAAGTTGGGCATCTTGCATATCCTAGTTTACAGTATATCTTACGTCATATATTACCATTTTTTTTTCTGAAATTTCTGAGGCATATTTTGCTTTATAATAACTCGTTGCATCTAATTATATTGATGCCCACCTATATGTTCTCAGCTCTTTTAAAATTACAGTACTTCTAATTGTCATTCAGTTCTGTGATAACATAAGAAACGAAACAATCAAACATATAAAAAATGGCTCAATCCGCTGGCGGATTAAGGATAATTATATCATGTTATATGCTGATCATCCACATGAATGTTTTCGTGCAAGATCTATTTTTATATGTAGAGTTCGTATTCCTTACTGTCCCCATTCCTTACATATATCTTTATACTTCTTCATACCTGTCGATTAAATGGCACTGTATTTTCAGCGCATCCATTTGAATTAAAACATCGATCATATATGTACATGTACATGTGCGTACACTATATTGTTTTCACTTTGATATTGGTAATAGAAGGGTTAAATTTTAACATTCCCAAATATATCTACTATGTCAATTGTGGAACACAAATTGTTCGCAATTTCTTCAAAGGAAATACTACTTATGATGATCATCGATCTTTGTTTCTATTCTAACTACAAACAACTGTAACTCAATTATTAATTATAGTAAAAATTGCGTGCGCTCTTTAACATGATGGGAACGAACTAATGAGCAACAACTATCTCAGGATGGATGCATGAGAAAAGCAGGTTGTTTCAAAAAGGTTTTATTATGAGCCAGTGGGCGTTGTCAGGTGGAGATAAGTGAATTAGCACTTGACTCGGATCGTTAACTTATACAATTGTCTTGAATAAGAGTAAATTTGATAATTTTAATCCTATTGATAGATCTAAGAACCTATCAGAAATTCACATCAAGGGAGAACATTGAATAGTAATACTGTTAGGGCTTTCTATCCTAACTCAATGATTGGGATTTTTTTCTGTTGGATCTGATCCCGGAGAGCACAGAATAGACGAAATTCCTTGTATTGAGATGTGTTGAGTGTGATGATATCGTTTGGCTTTAACGACTTGACTTGCTTTTATGTTAGTCATACAATAGGTCTTGTAGCCTGAACATATATATATAAATGAGTTATAAATATAAGATAGAGGAAACCAAAATCAAACCCAAGTCGAAATTACCGAAGAAAAATCTCTACTTTAATATGTTGCACCCTAGTTTAGCGATTTTACCATATAGCATGTCAGCTCTATCTAAAAATCCAAACAAATATAAATACTCGGCATTTTATATATACAAACAAAAAGTTACGATTAAGAACGTATAAAAAGAGGTCTTGCCCGGATTCGAACCGGGGTTAATGGAATGTTTGTGAATCAAAATCCACTGTGATAACCGCTACACTACAAAACCAGATGGTAGCGGCTACTTTAATAGACTATAATATCTAAGAACCTGGTGAAAATTTGCAAAAATATTTTCTTAGGGACGATGTAGTGCCGCTGCTCTGGTGTGGCAATGAGGGCTTAGAGTCCCAAAATAAAGTAGTAAAAACAATTCTGACATTGTAAGAAGTATTGATGGATGAATTTGTAATTTGTACGTCCTAAAAATATATTCAGATTTCATCATCATCATCGGGATGATTTAGAAGAGGTCTTCGGTGATGCAAGTATTTTAAAATGAGCAATTTTATTAAAATCTAACGAAAGTCATACTTCGTTGTTGCTTCTTAAACTTGCATTCCTAGGACAGAATCCGGAGGTCGGGGTCCATATTCTGGGAGATATGTCAGCACTTTATGTAATGGGCAAGCCTACGTATGACAGATAGCCAAGGAAATCTTACGGAAAGTGGACATATGTTTGTATTTATTGGAAATCTCACGTTTCTGTACGCTATCAGCCTATCTAAACTCGTCGGCCGAATGCAACTTTCCTCAGCTCTATAAACCTCCGAACCATATAGGCTTCTATCAATGTAGTGGTGTATTTGTTAGAAACATATCAACAACAAGAAAGATAATGTTCTTGAAACCACGGCATAACTTTCAGATCCTTCTTCTAATCACTAGTCTTAGGCTTCTGGGCCTCAATTCCGACATCGTAAAGCGAATACTCAGTTCGGCTCGTGGGAGATTATTCAGAGTAAATAGGACCGTGATGGACCAGTAGGATGGTGTGTACCTTGATAGATGCAAGGCTCGGTGATAGTAACATTTCTTGTTGCTTAAAGCTAACGCAGTTCTATTTAGAAGCAAATGAGCCGTCGTGTTGTATAAATGAAGTGACTTCAACAAATAGATAATGAAACTGTTTTGTCAGCTGGTGCATAACAACGCCGCTTAGAGTCTCATTTGCAGCCAAACGGACAATGCCTAGCTTGTTAATTTAATTATGTCACTATGAAGTCTGTGTTTGGGGAACAATGGAATTGGTATACCCGTGTGTTTTTCCAAATGAAAAATTTATGTATAATTACAGAAAACCTAGGTACCACTTCTGTTTTGAAGATCAAATAAATTACACACTAAACTTGTCCACGGGGGCTACACAACAATGAATTATTAATATACATTGAATTACTCATAACTACAGCCTATGCGAATGATCACACGGTGCTGTCAATGAACTGTAGGAGGACAGATCCTCCTAATGCAAATACAAGTAGTGATAAAGTGAATGCGTTCAACAAGCGAGTTGTATGCTTTTCTATTGAATCGTGTTTATAGGCTTGTGAGCTAGTGCGACCAACTTCTAATTCTATAAGGTCATCCCTAGGCACTCTTCTGTGGAATAGACGTAGGTTTGATGTTTGTAGTCCTACCTGAACAAGTTCAGATCCATCTAATAGAGGTATAGGTAGCATGTTTACCAGACCAAATGTGACTGATAATACTATAATATATTGCGTAATTGTTGAGAAAAATTTGACAAACCAGTCTGGAAACAGTAATGGGTGTTTCTGCGTGTATTGTGATACTTTGACTGTAAGGTTATGCATTAGATTTGCCTATGTAAGTGCAGCAACGTACGATTCTCCCACAGATAGCGCTTACTGCTCTGTAACAAAATACTCTCCTCTTCATTCTGTGCACCAAGATAACCAACGCGCACGATGTGAGACCATGGATGTGGGCGCACACAAATAGACTTCTCCTCGTCTAGATCCCGGCAATCCGTGGTATCCTGTAGCATAACCTCCGACGGTTCGAAGCAAGCTTGCTCACTGGTGAGAGAGGATGTTTGATAAGGTATGAAACATGCAGCGGTATTGATAGGCTCCCCAAGGTTGCCGGCTAAGCAGCAGGATTTATTTGATGCTGGAGCTGTTACTTAGAAAGCACTAAACAAATGACTGCACTTACAATCGAAGGCCTCCTTATCAACAGCCCAAGCGTAAGGGCGTGATGCAATCTCTTTTTGGTCTATTGGCGATAACAAATAGCGATCCCATATGTCTATATCAGCTTCATTTTTAGGTGCCTCGACGCTGAATGTCAGGGCATCTATGGATGTAATGATCGTGTTGGGATGTATGTACCCATAAAGCTCACTACCCTATGGTAATGTTAGGATGAACACAATTACACTTTATTGACTCACCTTAGAAACGCTGGTGACGGCACGACCGTAATCACCGACATACTCATATAACTGACCATTGAAAACATATGCTACCACACTTAGTAATAATGCTAGTAAGAAATTATGGAATGCGCCTGCACATATGATTCTCGCGTGTGATCTTAACGAAATGTTCGAAAGGTGTTGCTGGGATAGCGCTACGAATGCTCCAGGGATGAATGGAAACGCTAACGCCACTCCAGTAGATACGATGTCAACATTTTCACTGTATTTCTCATTAGAGTTACTTCGTGATTAGACGATACGTACCATACAGCTGCGACGGCGTGGCCAGCTTCGTGGAATGTCTGCACAGCCAAGAAAGACAAAATAAATGCAGGCAGATCAGAAAGAGGTGTTGTCCACCCAGGGAGCTTATCGTCGTGTAAGCATACTCAAGTGACCAAGATTATACTCACAACTGGCTTGATAATGAGACTGTCACCAAGGGCAGTATAATCTTCAACGCTCCTCACCCTAAGTGGGTGCAAAGAGGCCTTGTAAAGATTGTATAATGTCTTCAGAATGCTCATTGAATCCGTCAGGAGTACTGCGTATGAGATGAATACTGATGCTACAGAGATGACTACGCCTATGTCATATATATGGCGAAAGTAACCATTATTCTGGCTGCTGACTATACCCCTTAACCTCCCCGTATTCTTAAATTCGAATCTCTTCATTTACCAACGATATGATGGTACGAGAGAAGTGAGGATAGGAAGTTGAGGAACCTGTGTATAAATGTCACAGCATATTTTATAATTCAAGGTTCAGCCCCTGTCAAAGGGTTTCAGCACATTCCTTATCTTATCCGGAGTATCTCCGCTGAGGACATTAAGTAGAAGTTATTTCAGATCTGTTTAGAGTAGCGCTACCTATCTAATGTATGATGATACCTTTTTCGCCCATTTTCGGCAGTCATTAACGCGTCTAGACGATCTTCATTCCATCCAGTTCACGAAGCAGCATGCTAGAACTGTGCAAATGTACGTGTATACGATTAAATAAGATAAATTTCAGGCTGCTGTGATCTATGCTGTGCACAATACGAGTAAATCAATTAAAACAATTATATACAGTTAAACTTTGATTGAATGTATTAGATTGCGCGAAATTCCATCATCTCGTTTTAAATGCTGTATCTATCATACTTCTATATCAAAATAGCCGTTAATCATATGAAGTCTGAGGGGAACCCTTAAAGAAGCGTAACACTCAATTGTACAATAAAGATTAAAAATATCAATCTGTTGTAGCATCTCGAAGTAAATTACGTTGTGGGCTGGTTGAGTTTTGACTGAAGCAACATGGATTAATCCAGTCGACCACTGTCACAGCCTTTGCCCTAGACTCTCAATACCACCATGAGATACTGTTGTACAATAACTTGATGTTATGAGCCTGCCAGATAGTCTAGTATTTCAGATATACTATCAAAGATGGTATCATATGTAGCCGTTGAACTAAAAACTTCTGATTTACATAAATCCTTCGAGAGACATGGTGCTACTCTAAATATCATAAAAGTTCATTGTATCATAAGCTTCTTTAAGTCTTCATTGGCGCGGACCCAAACCAGATCAGCATATAAGTTCTTAACATAATTACACACTGAGTTAGCCTCTACAGCTAAACTTCCTACTTTATCTGCTTCAAATAGCGAATCCATAATTTACCAAGCCTTCAAAGGATCTTTGAACATATGATAACAAACCAGTTCGAGACCTTGTCTGCAAACCATCGACCTGCATAGACGTCTGATCTGCAAATATCCAGAAAAGTAGCTTAAATTATCAAACTTACCACTGCAGCAAGCTAGTAGACCCGAAATCTTCTCATTAACGACAGGAGATGAATGAGACACATCTCCTAAATGAAATATTTCTTGAGAGTCAGCGCAGGTAATAAGTTTTTCCCTGGTATAGAACTTTATTAATTGAGCCCAAGCAGACGAAGTACCATAACCAGCGCCAGTATCTGAGTCAAGAGTGCACAAGTCAACACTTTCGCATTCTTGCGCATCAGATATTCTTGTTGGTAGGATAGAATTAAAAACAGTGAGGTGTAGACCACAAATATATACAATAAAAGGAGATTCACTAGAAACATGTTTCACATGATTGATGATGCACTGATGATGGAATGAAGAAGTATGAATAAATGAAAAAGCATTTAAAACTTTCCTAGATTTCCCCATCGTTAATCGCTATAATGCGGGAAGCTTTTAGTTAGGTTTGATTTAATCTGAAAGCATTCCTTCAACGGAGTCGTAATGTTTTGAAACATACTTCATATCTTCCGTAAAATTATTACTTTTGACAAGTTTACTTCGTGCTTTAGTAAAGTCTAAAAAGAAAGACCCAATTTTTCTTCTCCTGATATGTCGACGTAATTTATATGACCAGATAGAAATGTTAAAAAACATAAGAAGATATAAATGCATAAACTGACATGACATTTTCCCGCCATAGGTTCAATTCCTGAACCTGCACCTCTTGGTGAAGACAATTATAAACCAGGTTACTTATCCATGAGGTGCACTACATGTCCATAAACTGTTGGCTGTCTCGCTTTTTTACATCTGAATTCTTAGAAACTTTTATAACCAGTCTCAGTATAGGTTGACTTTAAGCATTTTCCATATGTAATAAAGAATATTCGACATCACCAAAAGAATATTCCAACACGGTACCACATGGGGATAAGTTAGGATCATAGATAGTAGCGCCTCCAGAATCCTCTCTTTTGTTACGGGACTTATGAGAAAATGCAGGCCGGATAACCACAGGGCTGTCATAGCCATTAGTCCATTAATATCATGGGTTTAGTTCCCTCAAGAGTTATGGGTTCAGTGCTACGATGAGATGTGAAACCATCTCCAATACGGTAAATGGCATAAACTGCAAACAAACAACCAAAAATACTAGCTGTAATATAGCCACCCAAATTTTTTATTCTGTTCTTGTCGTCCAAATCACAAAAACCTTCAAGATGGTCATTAGCTATTATTGAAGTTAGATACAGTGATATTAGGCCAGGTCTTTTGATAGGAGTATTGATGTGCTGAAGAGCCAATTACGACCACGAAAATTGGCCTCCATCGTCCTGTCTAGGGTTGACTAACATCAGATTTTCCTTTGATAATGCGTGGTGAGGGCATTTTGGGTCCCCTTCCACCAATCTTATGCATGTCAACACTACGTTAGAGTAAAATTAAAACTGAGACCGATGCTTTTTTTAATTCTGTCTGTATCAACCAGAGTTACAAGAACTTCTTCTCAAGGCTTTTTCCATTGTGGTGGTGGTAGCATTGGTCTAACTTATGTGACTGCTTGCGAGTTGAATATGTCCCTGTCTTCTGCTAAGTTTTTGTATTCGAATTCCATAAAGGCTTTCTCAATCGCTTATTCTCTTTTGTTTCTAAGTTTCTAAATATGCATGGAAGGCTCTTTCTCTTTCTTCTAGTCAAACTGCGAAAGTCGTTATCGTGTTTGGTATCATGACATTGATGCTAGTTTTGAATAAAGCGATATGTTTACTTTCTTCAAATCCATTTCCGCTGTTTGGTTTGCTACTTCTTGCTCACCCGGCATTACTCTTCTGTTTTACGTTGTTTACTAAAGGATTTTCTCTATATAAATTATGACTCTCTGACCATCTAGCATTAATGCTTCAATGTAATCTAGCATCAGATTGATAACTATTTCTATGATGATGATGATGATATCTAAAGGTATTGTTGTCGATACCACTTTAAGTACGTTCGCCAGCAGTTTCTTATAATATTATGACTTACTGAACTACTAAAGCATTTCTCTACAGACGCAGTAATGTGATGATCGCATTTCCGTTATTTGAATTTCAGCTGATTCATTGGTGTCTCTTACGTGTATAGGCAATATCACATTAAGACGCTCGTAAATGGAATCTAAAGCTCCTGAGCATCAGGCCTGATTTGAACCGAGTGTTGATCTTGGAAATTTTTGTCTCTAATGTGGTTCTTGCTATAATATGTCTTCTACGAATAAATAAATAACGTCATATATGGTTATATACGCCACACAAAATGCACTTGAGTGAATGAATCACTTTGAAGCGCTAGCGATGTGAGTTAGCTGTGGTACACATTTTACCAGTGAGAAGTAATAAAAAAGAAACCTTTTCGCTATGGGCAGAAATACAGGAATTTAGCCGCGATGATGATGATGATGAAATCTAAATATATTGTTAAGACGATACAAAGTTAAACTGCGTCCATCAATACTTCTTAAAGCATGAGGATTTGAATGGCATGTTGAATTGGTAGGAAGCGTTTCTTGACTAGTGTCGTAAAATGTCTTGATGATTTGCGTGTCCGGGAATTTTCTCGGTTACGCCGAACCACCGGAGTATCTTGGGTACGTAGTCAATTGTGGTTTGAAAAACTCGTAAAGGGCTTGAAGAGCTTGTGCGTTCCTGAGCATTGGACCTAATTCGAACCGAATGTTGATCTTGGTTATCTTTCTTCGCAAGGTAATTCTTGCCATTATGTGTCTTCTACATATAAATACTCTGTGCGAGATGCTATCATCTACGCCGCACGTCCTGCATTTAGGTGAGTCGATTAGTTTGAATCGGTATCGGTATGACTTAGTCGTAGGGAAGTGACCTGTACGTAGCTGGGTTGCTAGGCACCGTGTC